TAATAATAATAATAATAATAATAATAACAATAATATCAGTGATATTAGCAATGGGAGTCTAGCAGGACCATGGCAGGAGGCTCCACCAGGATCCATGAGAACATGTGAGGCGAGAAAGTACAAGAACTCCGGGGAAGAAGTGAAGTTAGTAACATGCATTAATGGGACATGAATGTGTGCAGAAAGAGAGGGAGAGGATGAGAGGAGCTCAGTGCATCATGGGAAATCCCCCGACAGTCTAGGCCTATAGCAGCATAACTAAGATAATAATTAATAATAATTATGAGCACTGACCAACTCTCAGTGGGTGGGATATAGCAAATAAACATTTTGTCCTCAATGTTGATGTGTTAGAAGCAGGAAAAATGGGCAGCGTGAGGATTAAAGCGACTTTGACAAGAGCCACATTGTGATGGCTAGACGACTGGGTCAGAACATCTCCAAACCTGCAGCTCTTGTGGGGTGTTCCCGGTCTTCAGAGGTCAGTACCTATCAAAAGTGGTCCAAGGAAGGAAAAGCGGTGAACCAGAGACAGGGTCCTGGATTGCCAAGGCTCACTGATGCACGTGGGGAGTGAAGGCTGGCCTCTGCTGTCTGATCCAACAGACGAGCTACTGTAGCTCAGACTGCTGAAAAAATTAATGCTGGTTCTTACAGAAAGGTGTCAGAACACACAGTGCATCGCAGTCTGTTGGTATGGGGCTTTCTCATTTCAAAATGAAAACCTATTGGCCGCAAAGTACACTGACTGTCTGATCTCACAGATTCATATGACTCATTTTCAGAAACCTTGCAGCTCGGCACAGATCGCAGTCAAGCGGGTCCTGCTCAGTGGGTCTGGGGCATGGGTATTTTTGTGGACAGGCTTGCCACACCTGGATACATGGTGGGATCAGAAGGAATAGATTATCATACTTTAACAGTTGCCATGTTAGAGGCTTTGACAATCATGGCTGGTCACATTCATTACTCTCATGGCCTTAAACACAACCTTCTACCTGATGTGACGACAGTTTGGAAATCCTGGAGAAAGCTTTCCTCAGAGGAAACTCATTGTTGTCTGGATAAATGTACATTATTATACATTAATGTTTCTGACATTTTGAAGATCCTACTGCACAATAACCATCTGAAGTTAAATACTCCCATACTGCATAACTGAGACTGAAATGGAATTAAAAATGCAATCTAGTTTTTTTCATTTGGCATTTTTCTTTATTTGCCAGCCATACCTCTCCTTGGGGACACTTTGGCCAGACTCTTAAAAAACGATGTCGCGCACAGTTGTTGCCCTGGTTACCCGGTGTTTTGTCTCATGGAGGTGGTCCTGAGGGAGTTATTAGTGGACAGAGAAGTTTTAATTGATCTGCAATTTTTCGTGGGACTGTGTGAACTGCGTATCGACCAGCTCTGAACAGACTACTGGCCGATCTTGTGAGACCAGGGGTGGAACCCTCCTGCCACCCAAAAACGAACGTGTTCAAAATATAAATGAACACATATGCCTGAATTATCTGTTATGGCCACATTTTAGACTAAGACATATATTTCTGGCACCCCTTAAATCTCCATGCCAACACATGAATATTTCTTTAGATTACTCACTCATTCTTGGCACGAGCTTGCAGTAAGCCGGGAATGCCGGTGAATTGGCATAGCCACATCCTTTAGGTTCTCTCCTCCTCACCAAGATACCAAACCGCAACAATCAAGTAGATAAAACCCTGCATAAAGCCCAGATGACAGTGAAGCTAGTTCATTGAGGTCATGTGTTTATAATAACGTGCAAACTAAGCAGCAATATCAATGAGTGAGTTGCATTCAACCATAGGACCTACATTTACACTATGGCACAAAGAAGTAATGAGGGGAGCTGTAAGTGTGTAAGTAAAAAGATTTTTAATGTGTGCGCAAATACAGACAAACCATGAAGAAACTAGAGAGGCTTGGACTGGCAGTTTCAAGGTTGGTGCTCCTTCTCTGTTAGCATCAAGAGTTTGCAATGAAAAAGATAAAGTGGAGTAGGAACATGTTTCCACACCGTTAAAGCATTTGTTACAGCAGACCTTTAACAAAATATGAATTTGTTTTTAGTCAATTATTTTCCTCAGGGTTAAGCACCAAAAACATTCCACATTCACTTATGTCTTTTTGTTGGAGCCATACTGCCTGCTAAACCTCATGGTCAAACTCGAAACTCACTCAATAGTCCTGTCAATCTGTGGTTTTGCCCAGGGAAAGTTGCAGTAGTAAGGTCAAGGTGTTATGTTATGCCTAGAGACATACAAATAACAATTATAATCTACCATTATATGTGTAGTGGATCAAGGTAAATTCAGGGGTCGAAATTTGGGGCCTTCATAACATATTTGATCAACTGCTTTGCTGATTTAATTAATACAGGGGTGTTTTTTAGGGTTATTGACGATGCTGAATCCATTTCTGACATTTTCAAAGTACAACATGGGTATTTAAACTGGAATTGGCCATATTTCATCTCCCGGTGGGCTGCTTTTGGTTAATGTTGAGTAGATTTTGAAATTATTTATAATCATTTGAGGGTACCCCTTACAATTACAATTTATACCCAGTTTTTGAGGTGTTAGTGTAGTTATACCCCAAATACAGGTATAAGACATTAGAATATCCTCTGAAAAGATTTTTTATTGGAAAAACTGACCCCAAACAGGATAGGTGTACATAGACCTTCCGATATTAACACCTTAATATTAACAAAATGTGCTTTTGACCTTTGAAGTTTTATAACTAGGTTCGGGAACAAAGACCACGCCCTAAACTCATCTCATTTCCGCTCAAAACATACTTCCCCCAAACCCTTTTATTTCTCTCTCTTATCCAAATACAGGAACCACTGGGGCTCTCGAAGAGATAAAAAGACCCTTCCCCACTCAGCGTCTCAGCACCCTCCGACCGTCTCGCCGAACTTCTCCATCCTCCACCTACCAAACCCGTTTTCCTTCCTTCCTATCAACCCTAACCCGTCCTTCCCATACCCCCTCATCCCTCGACCCTTGACCCCTTCCTCTCGTCCCTCGTCCCTTACCCCTTCATCCCTTCATCCTTTCATCCCCTCCATCCCTCGACCCTTTCCCTCCCACAGTATTCCACATTTGTTCATAATGTCTAATAAACCCTTCTATTCCATACAGCCGTTAGCGTGGTCTTTGTTAGTGAAATCCTTGATGGTATATTTTTAATATATGATGGATGGTATTGGGACCAATAAAAACTATAAGACATTACTATTGCAGTTCCTCCTGGATTGGGCCCTCTGAGTACTATTCTGAGTATGACCAGTAGACTGATCTTGATGTGTAATTCCACTTTAACAGAAAGTTCCATAAAGTTTATGGTGGTCAGCCACTCACTATTCCTAACCAACCAACCAATCAATGCAGCAGTGGCCGCATGCTTGTGTTGCTGCTTTGAGAAAAGTCTGTCTGGGATTTTAATTAAAACATAGGAATTAAAACAATTTATTTTATTTTGCAAAAATTGTACTAATCGATCAGACTCTGGAAAACAATTCAGCTGTGTTGTGATGAGAAGTAATTTTAATAGCCCCATAGGATTTTCCATAATGAAACATCTGAGAAGCAATTAAACAGTTCCGTTTGTCTTATCTGTCGCTGTGACCGTGTTTTCCTGAACGTAGCAGCCACTGCGTGTAGGCCAGAGTAGAGCATCTGTCCTCCAGTGGAACTTTACTTTATCCTCCTCAGGTGACATATATAGACTGCACACCCAGCCCATATAACCACTGAGAAGTTTGTAAAAGAGAAGGCCGAAATTGATGACTTGAAACAGCCCAACGCCAAGAGAACCAGGGACAATTAATCCTGTCTCCCCGTTAAAGACGTCTCCTTGATACAATAGAGGATGCCAGGTCCATCTGTGAAGTCAAGATGTAAGAGTCATGCATACATGCAGACGGAGAAAAGCTATGGCTCCTAATTCTGCTCATTAATCACCTGTCTGCCGAACATCCTCTAGAGAGAAAGCGCCCAGCTCCTCCGAGGTAATTACAGCACTTGAAGGAACGCTCCGCTGCTGCAAATGCTCATAAGTAGCCATCTTATCCCTCTCCTGCACTTCCTTTTTTTTTGTGTGTCGGGCTGCAGAGCCGATAGCTTCCATGTCCTCTAGAGAAACTTCCCTCCTTCTCCTCCTCTCAAGCCTTTTCTGCTGCACCGCTCTTGCTCCTCTTCAGCTTTGTAGTCAGCAGACTTTGTTTTTTTCCTGGGCACACATCCATTTGGCATCCGATGTGGGATAAATAAATTATAGCCTCTAAAATCAATGCCCAGTCCATGGTGTAGGCTGTGGGCTTAGTGCTTGCCACCATGCTAGAATTATGCCACCGTGGCTCAAACAAGGGGACATTTCTTGAGCCCCAGAGCTGTGCTGCTATTCAGTTTTTTTTTTTTTTTTGTGAAAAGCTATTCTAGGCCTTCTGACATTTATTATTTGTCATAAGTTTTCATGGGTAATATTACCTTTACTGCGGGGACTGATGGAGGTTTTGAGGCACAATTTGTCTCAGGAAGCTGTTACTTTGTCACACAGCATCCTGGTCTGAACCGGTTCCATCCCCTTGATTCGTTGCAGCGTCTGGAAGCTGTCTTTAATTTCTCCACAGAACCACTCAAAGAATCTAAAAATAAATCAAAAACAGTCACAAAAGTGACATCTTTGTGCATTTATTTTTAAAGACAGAACAGTAGCGATGCAGTCACTCAGCCTGTAAACTGTGTGTTGATGTTGGAATGAAAGATTTATAGCCATCAGCAGATAGATGATGCTCTTTTTTTTTAAAGTTGTTGCAGTAATTTTATAGCTGGTTTTAGGGAGTCTGAGACTAAAACTACATCTTTGAATGTGTCCTCAGAGTGACTCTTTGAGAGCTACACTCTACCCAGCAGGCTGCTATCACGTTGCTAATGCTCTCTTTCTCTTCCTGTCGCTTTCTGTGTTCCCAGATGGAGATGATACCAGAGCCTGATCCTGATGACGAAGGGACAAAAATAAGTGTAAGTTGAAGAACGCCTCATGTGGCTCTCCCTTGCCCAGCGCTCCTCGTAGCGTCGTGACCCAAGCTGGCGGCATTTCATCCCGAGCAACCACAACAGCAGCTGATTTCCCCCGAATAATACACCTTCAACCAGAGAAAGGAGCTAATCAGTGAAATCAGTGGCAGTGTATTATTACTGTCAGAGTGGTTCCCTTCCTGCGCTCATGCTCCAGCAACTGTTCCGCCCCTTTTCTCCTGCCACTCTGTATGTGCTTTCTGTGCCCAGAGCACCACACAGCCTCCCTCCGAATCAACCCACAGGAGTCCTCAGATCAGCGATGTTAGTCATGACGGGCCCCAGTGCAGGCTATTTTGGTGGGCCCTATCTACTATATATCGTATTGTCTCGTCACATGATAAAATAGAGACTTGACGATAGACAACATCAAGATACATACATATTACCCAGCAATCATCATTGCAGATATACGCAGGCTACATATACAAATTGGGATTATTAACAGGATTACAATTTTGAAATACATTTTAAAATAAAGAATGATATACCAGCATACACATGTGCATTGCACGCACATTACAACACTTCACCAGTCTCACAACACTACTCTAAACCTGAGTGAAACCATAGCTAATTGTACAGTTGCACTTACTAAAGAAATAGCATACATCTAGGAACCTGTGCTTCTTGTCCTGTCTGAATTCCTTTTAGCGGTGTAGATGCATTCCTGGATTTTACTCATTAACCTGGTGCAGTATCATTACCAACTAGAATAATGGGCAAAACTTGAAGACCCAGGTTGCATTAAACCATAATTATTTTTTCAGAACACAGCAGAACCAAACTAAAAAGGATGTCTTCTGTTTGTTCAGTTGTGTTTGCAAAGTGTTTTCAATGAATCCATCTGAAATACACAGAATTAATAAAAAGGTTCTACTCAAACTCACCATAGATGTTTTGCAGGCAGGTTACCAGGTATGCTCATTACCTAAAGTGCTGAGGTTTGCTAGATAGTCTATTTGTAACTGAATTTGGAAGTTGTTGGGATCTTTATGAGATTGCCCAGGACATGTGTGCCATTACAGTGCTTTAGATTGTTCCTAATTTACTGTCAGAAACAACTAGGAACTACAAATTTGCAATAGCAAATACTGTATACTCAGTCATAGTCATGTTATGTTTATCAACACAACACAAAATCAATCTGGAAAATGGCATAATCTTCATTCTAAAAATGTGCACACGGTTAAAGTCTACAGTGACTTGAAGCACAAACCAGGACGTGTGTGTTTTAATAATAAACCAAAACCAGGACCCTTCTCTAATTGTTTTGGTTGTCTAAACCTAACAACATGTGGGCCTCAGGATGCAAGCACCAGTCTCCAGTGTCAAAGTCCTGTGCTTTGTTAGCCTGCTGTTTACCCCAACCACCTTCCTGCGACCTCTGTGAAGAACAAAACATATCTGTAGAGTGGAAAAAAAAACATTGCCAGTGAACATAATTCAGGCATAGAGTATATTATTTTTTTCCATCAAAATGAAGAAAACTTTGATAGTACCTCTAAATATTGGACCATCATGTCCTGTTGAGCTGTCCTAATTAACATGGATGGGCATGTGAGTTTGCTGCACGGCTGTCAAAGCTGCACAGGCCACCATGGACCACTTCTTCTATCATAAATTAATGCACACATACAGAGTTGTGGATTGCAGACTCGCTCACAGATTTCAGGTTTTCTATCTTGCCTTTTATTTCTTTACCATCATCTTCAGGAAAGTGGATAGCCACAAAAATGTACAGTCAAAGAACGAGTACACTATACATTCTTAATCCATGAAACACGTGACTTTGTTATTTAATGTTTGTCCATAAGTACCTTTACTTCTCATTGTGTGAGTCTAGGATGTATTTTTCCCACTGGTATTCTGCAAAGATCACCCCTACTCTGCCTCTGATTGGCTTGTGATTGGTCAGAAAATCTTTTAGCCACCCACCTAATGCATCAGTATTTGACGACCAGGGATTAAGACTCAAAAATCAACTATCATTCTCCAGAATCGCTCAGCTGCAACGCTGAGAAAAAAAGCGCTGAAAATGTCCTTGGTAAAATGGATAAAAGAATTAGGGTTAGGGTTATGTTTTAGTCAGGGCTGGGTTGAATTAGGCTACCGGCACCTTTTTTGGTCCAATTCAGGCACTGACATTCACAGAAGTCACAGTGTCATAGCCTCTATCACTGCAAAAACGTTCACCCCAGTCATTTATTCTAATTCTGTGCCATACTGTAAATATTTTACCACGTAATGTGCTAACCTACACTTGGCTGACCAAATTATGTAACAACCTGCTTTAAAGATGCTAAAAACATCTTTTCAATTAGTGACAGTTAGAGGCTAAGTGCTAATGGGTGAGCTTTTGACTGTACAACGTGTAATAAATAATGCCTAAGGAAGCTCTTTTCTGGACATTAACATTAATCATTGCTTTTTTAGTCATGAATATTTTCTGTTCTTGAGAAATAGTTCCTTAATGCATGTGTCTCAGTTGACTTTCCAGATAAATGTACATTGAAATTGCTATATAAAATTACGTACATGTACTCTTTTATATTTATATCCATCTCAAGACACCACTAGTGCAATTTTGTTCTCAAGCCAGTAAGCAAAAGATACTGGGTCCAGTGCCGCCGGTATAAAAAAGTACTATTTACTAAATGAACATCATGCTGTATGGAAGAAGACTGAAACTAGAGATTCAAGACATAAACTCATTAGGAAACGGTTTACTGAGCTAATAAAGTGAGAAGTTGGGTCATTTCTCCACAAGACTGCATGGTATTGGTTTTTATTGCTGCCAATTGAGCTGCCCCCCACCTCTACATTTACATACATTGGCTTCCCCTATAGACTCAGATAATGTCCATTATATAAATGGCCCCTAACAATATATATTTCACCCGTAATTAAAACACTGTAAACAGAGTCCAACTGCGTGAATGTGTACACATCCAAATGTTACAGTATAACAGTCAAGTACAGTGGCATGATGTGTCATGAAACCTTCTTGTATTCCATTATACCGTCCACTGTTATGACACTGTGCTCTCTTTGAATTCCTCTGACAGACGGTGAAAGTCCAGGGCAATGACATCTCACACAAGCTGCAGATTTCCAGAGTCAGCAAGAGTGACGAAGGACTGTACGAGTGCCGGGTGACCCGGGCCAACTACGGAGAAATTGTGGAGTACAAAGCCCAAGCCTGGCTGAAGGTCAACGCCACGGCCAGGCCACGACGACCACTGCCGCCTCCCAAGAAAAGCTCCCCGCTGCACCTGACAGACAAGAAGCCAAGAAAGTCCAGCTCACCTCTTGGCCAGGACAACATGAGTTCAGACCAGAGGGTGGCCTCCACCTCCACCTCTCACACATCCTCCAATACAGCTAAACACAACCCCGGCTCAGGTAAGGCCCTGGGAGAGGGTTACATAATGAGGGCACAAAAGAGACTCATGTAGCCAGAATTTTTACTACAAGCATAAAGTCTGGTCTGCAACCTTCCTGATGTGCATTTGTGAGTCACCTACTTTGGTTGAAAAAGGCTGTTTGGTTGAGATTCACCCTAGAACACCCGATAACATACTCACAGAAAACAGACCTTCCCCCTCAAAAGTTAACCAAGGCAGACTGATAGAGACTGATGCACCTGTGTCATTTAAGTTATCCACACACTGATCTATCCAATGAGAGTGGAACTTTTACTATCTGGTGGCTCTGAACAAGCTTAACGTAATTTGAAAAGAGTATCTGGTCTCACTGGGTTATTAAGACATAATTCAGGTCTTGCTGAACAAGAGTGCAAGCAGAAAAATGTGATTTGAGAGCCAGAATTCTGTAAAGCTAGCCAAGTAATCTGGCTGGTTCTTTGGTATTGATTAACAACCATATCAGAAATGTATTGTCAGAACTTGCTCCAGGTAGCAGGAAAGCACCATTTTCTACCAAGCTGATAGCCCAGTCCTCCTGTCCCATGCTAAAGTGTCCTGAGATAACTTCTGTTAGGAATTGGCGCTATACAAATAAAATTGAATTGAATTGAATTAAAGTCTTCCTGCCAAGATCATCTTTTGTTTTAAGGTGGCAGGATACAGTCCTGGGAACAGGCTGCTTTTCCTTTTGGCTTTCAGGTAACATCACTGGAGGTTGTCATCTGACTGTTTGCACATTAAAAAGGTCACGACAAACATTAAAGGTGAATCTGATACACCTTTGAGTGCAGCTGCAAGGCATACAATCTGAGCAGCATGCAGGTCCAGGGTACAGCTACTATGAGGTTTCACGTCCTTGCTCTCTCATGCTGATGATGTGTAGACTGTTTTAAGCTCTCTGCATGGTCCCCACAACAATCCTGTTTTCACGCCGTCCGTAACAATTATCACGTTAATACTTTTAAAAGTCATGCTTCTGTCCTTGCAGGAGTTGTCATTGCTCTCTGACACTGTAGTGGGCACTGTGGATGAATCTACTGCAGCTGTAACAAGTGTCTCACCACTAGCACATTTTGAGCTCAAGCCAATAAGGAAAAGATATTGGTTCCATAGCCACCAATATAAAAAGGTACTCCGAATCTACAAATCTACTGCAGCACACAGCAGGGTTGCTGTTAAAGGAGAAAGTAGGAAAAGCAGCATGTGACGTGTCTTGAATCCAAATGTCCATGATGCGAAGTTGTCCCCACACACAGACTCTTGGACTTAACGGGTGCATTAAGTAAGTGCCAAGGGCTGTCCAAATCCACAGTCTAAAAAAAACAGACTCCAGAGAGTCCACTTAGGGTACACCATACATTGCTTGGGAAATAATCCATATGATTCCATCCATGGGACAGTATAAAACAGTAATAATATGTACCACATTTTGTTGAATACATTATACACCTACCATAGAGGCTGAATAATTTGGATTTGTTATATACTGCAAACCTAGACAGGCAACTGTTGGCTTTTGTCTATCTATGATGTGATGATCCTTAGTCGGGGGTTAAATGTGAATATAATTGTGTTTTGCAGATCATGTAATGGAAAACTACGATTATGTCCTCATCTGTTTTAGCTGCTATGTAATGCAGCAAACCTGCATATATCATGCACAAAATGTAACAGTCAATAATGTTATGAATACTTAAGAAAAGACACTTTTAAATACAGTCACAGGGTCAGGAATTTCAATTAAATTAGTGAAACACAGGACTCAAGTCCTGTCTCATAGCTAATTTCCTCCCGTCACATGTTGCCATTTTACAAAAAATAAGTTGTTTCCTATTTTTGGTCTTTAAAAACACTTCAACTATCTGATGGTCAGGGTGTTTTAGAAGGAGATGGAAGAGGAATAGATTAGATGAGGGGTACCATAGACCCACAGGCAAATCAATAACAAAGAGAAGCAGCCACAGAGTGCAAATTATGACAGGCATGCACCAGGTCCATGCGTCAGCCGCAATCACGTAATTGTGGAGGTTACATTTAGCAAACATGCTTGCCAGAGCTCAGTCGGAGAATTATACACTGGACCTTAGGAATGTTGGAATATCACTGTTCAATTAATCAAAATCTGAGACCCCACTATTGAGTTCTGTTTGTTCCTCTTACTTACTCATAATAATAATAATAATAATAACCATTGATAACAAAGTGGCTATGGTGATGCAGTAGTGTTTTCTCCAGCTGAGGATCATAGACAAAATTAAGACTTTTTCAGTCACCACAGATATTGAATAAGTCTGTGGTGTTATTTCATCTTGTTTGAAGTGTTGCTGTTGCCTTTATTCAGTGATCAGCTACAAGTCAATTGCCTGCCTCCAGCATACCCAAAATGTTGTTGCTCAGCTCTTGATGAATTCTCGGAGATGAGAACACATTCCACCCTTTCATGCGCCTCTTTGCTGGCTGCCCGTGAGTTTTTAAAATTGTTTCTAAGACTTTACTGTTAATGTTTGAGGCAATACATTGCCAGGCCCACAGCTACATTTTAGAAATTTTCATGAGCAGCTCCTGAGATCCTTAGGCAGGCCTCCTCTGGTGCTTCATAAAACTCACCTTATTACTGAGGGTCTTCTTACTGCAGGCTCCTCAGCTCTGGAGCTCCCTGCCTGAGCAGGATGGCCAAAATCAGTAGGACCTTTTTCTTTTCTTTTCTTTTCTTTTACACAGTTATTCAGCTTCAATATCTCTGACTTTTAATTATTGCTTATTTATTGGCTAGAATTTTAAAATGTCCATTTGTGCCCTCAAGTAGTTTAACTATGACCCAGGGACTCTGAAAATAAGTGGCTGAAAACAATACATACATAGATTTTTTTAGATTATTATTGCAATTTTTCTCACAAAAATAAATGCTATTAGAATAATCTGACTGATAGTATAATCACATAAGCATGCTGCACATACTGGCTTTAAGTTATTATTTTTATTGAACTTGAGCAAATGTAATTCATGAGATTTACTGCAGTATGTCTCTATCATGGTCTAATAATAATATCTAATATCTAAGGCACAGTCTGTAATTACACTCAGCAGACTGCAAAGAATATCAATGATTCCTTTGTCCTTCATCAAGCCGGTAAGGCTGAAATCCTTTCAAAGAGTGTGTGCAGTGTAATACCTATTGAGTTGTCTTGGTGAGTGCAAACATCATCAGCCTTTCCAAGAAATGGAAAACGTGCAGACCAAGCAAGTGGAGGATGATTTAACCCCTTCATTATTGTCGAGGTCAGCCACATTCCCCCGTGGACTTTTTTTGACAAACGTGAACAAAATTCAATTCACCTATTCACGGAATCCCTTCTTTTAAGTAATGGATAATTCACAGCAAGCAATTTGTACAATACAGCAATTCTCTGTTAAAGATATCACTTTATCACATCAAACATTTAGCTGGAAACAATTGTGTAAGATGAGGTCATTTACACGACTTTCTGAGGTAATATGGTGATTTAAATGAATTGCTCTGTGGGTTAATAACAAAGTCAGATAAGACTGCTGATTAGCTACTTTTTTTGGTGGGTATAATAGTAATAATATTACTAATAATGATTATAATAACATAAGAGAGTGGTGTAGGCATGATCAGCAAATAGCATCAATGACAAAAACAGTTCCCGTATGCACCTGCCAGGAATTATTTGTATTCAGGTCTTTCATAATAATACATCAGTGTAAATGGCTGTAATTACCTCAGATCAACACATATGTATTTACTTACTTGGCTCGCTCAACCATTTTCTCACAAACTTGGAGAATCTGAAAAGGATTAAAGGGCCAGTGTATAGAATTTACTGGCATTTAGTGGTTCAGTTGCAGATTGCAACTCCCTTGCTTCACTGTCCCTTTCCAAGGAGAAACTATGTTGGCTGTGAAACCTGCAAAAAAATGCAAAAGGACCTATCTTCAGCCAGTGTTTGGTTTGTCCACTCCTTGCTACCGTAGAAACATGGCAGTTCAACATGGCAGACTGTGCCAGAAGAGGATCCGCTCCCTCTGTAGATAAAAACAGCTCATTCTAAGGTAACACAAACACAACAATTCTCATTGCCAGGTGATTATACATTAATAAAAACATGCCTATGAATATTCTACTCCATTTTTGACAATAAATCCTCCTCAATGTTTCACACTGGACCTTTAATGTAACATGTACACAGTGCACTTCGAATAGTCCACATTTTCCTCATATGTTTTTCACTCAAGCTGATAGAGGAAATCAGTTTCGTATCTTCAAGGCGTTCAACTTGTATAACAACAGCATAGGTCCTTAAGTAGCAGCCCAATGTTTCCCCTTAAGTGTATTAGTTTGAATATTCTCTCATTAACTCTTTATTATAATTATATTCAATTCACTGACCATCAAACTATGATATCATTTCACTGCTCCTCCTCATCTATACATGCCAATCATTTTCTACCTGGTCAGACAGTTCAAACACAGAGCTGGCCCCGCTCTGGGCTAAGATAGCCCTCTGCACCCTGAAGCAAAACACAGAAAGATATTACTTGCCGCTGAATAGAGGTAAAAAGTTGAATAATCCCCGGGGCTGCAAAGTCGGAGATTATGAGGCGGCCAAATTATGCTGACAACTGTGTTGCAGTGAGTCCTCTGTGCGGTGTGTCTGACACTGATAAATGCCTCTCTGTGGCTGCTCGGGCAGCCTCAGCCACCTTCTCTGTGCGGCGGAAAGGTGTTACGGCTGAGGGCGACACAGTTCTATTACTGCCGCGCTCAGGTTGGAGGCAGATGAGCAACAATAGGTAAATGGGCTGAGATGAAATTAAACCTGGGAGAGTGCAGATATGTTCCTTTTCCGCATTGCTGCATCTGTAAACAATGAGGCACTTTCCAGATGGGGGGAATGTGACTGTGGCTGGTGGAGCGGCTGCAGCCGCAGCAACAGCAGCAGAGTAGTTTGTTCA